CACAATTCATTGTCACGTACAATGCTTTGAAGATGTTGGAGATGCTTAGGGGCAAAAGGCTGATGTTTGTAGGGGACTCGTTACAGAGAGGAATGTTTGAGTCAATGGTTTGTCTAGTTGAGTCTGCAATCCCAAAAGGAAGGAAATCTCTTGAAAGAGTGCCCCCTAGAAAGTTTTTCAAGATTGAGGTAAGATAAAATCTTAATGATACAATGAATGTCTGTTAACAACAATAAATACATGACTCGAGCTTTGTATCATTGACATGTACCGATTATTTGAATGCTATCAAACACAAAACAAAACACAAAACAAAACAAAACAAAACAAAACAAAAGCAAATCAATGACTTTTGATCCTATTATTGAAATCAAGCTCTAGAATCTTTGCATGTAGAAGTTTAGGGAGCATTTGCATGTAGAATGTTTTGGTTGTTCGTGCTTGACAGTGTTTGTGATCACCATAGTGAATATAATTAAAAAAAATGGTACTTTATGAAATCAGCATTTGTGTGGAGACAGTGAGCTCCTACCACACTCAAAAGAGAGTCATCTAGCACTAACTTAGAATTTTGTAATAAATGAATTCCACAGGATTTCAATGCAACAATAGAGTATTACTGGGCTCCTTTCCTTGTGGAGTCCATCTCAGATCAGGCATCAAATCACACTGTATCAAAAAGAATGGTGAAGCTAGACTCCATTGAAACACATAGCAAGCAATGGGAAGGGGTGGACATACTAGCATTTGAAAGCTATGTTTGGTGGATGAACATGCCCTTGATTAATGCAACGTATGTACCGTAAAAACAAACTTAGCAGTCACATATCAAATACCTAATTATTTCTGAAAGATTTTTCACATGCTTCTCACCAGGTATGGGTTTACAGACAATGTCAAGGAATTTAACGTGACCACTGCATATAGATTGGCATTACAAACATGGGCAAGTTGGATAGAATCTAGCATAAACCCTGAGAGGCGTTGCTGATGGCTTGAGTACCTATGATATCATCAGGATCAAATATACGCATCAAATGTACAAAAAGGTGCCATTTAACAATGGTAAGTACAAGCATCAAATGTTTTTCAAAAGAAAAGTTAATGGAGTTTAATACAATTTATCCATTTAATTTTAATCTCAGAGATCACAATATAAGGTGCCATTAAAAAGGTTCAGTAGTGCAGTACTCACTTTTACTTACCAAAGCTTTGACGCTCATCAACTAAGGTTTAAGGGTATCCATTCGAGCTTATTAACTATTAAGCGCTAAACTTGTTGTGCATCTCGAGCAACCATACATTTCAAAATAACTCAAATCCAATTAAACATTATCCCGTACATTTGTCACCTATCCCACTGGTAATCATCCTAGCTTCCAACTGTGACATGTTGCGAGATTTTTTATCAAATAGTGTTTCATTTGGGGGGATAACATTTAACAATTTTTTGAGAAAGTAGAAGAGTTAGAGAATATTTTTTCATTTTCGTAATTTGGAAAAATTGTTGAGTAAACACGCTTTTTACTTTGATTCTTTGTTTTCAAAAAAAGGGTAAAAAATTATACTAAGTGACAAAATTACTGCATGTCTTGAATGAAGTACAATATTTCATACCACTGCAAAGAAATGCCGGATTTTGCATCAAGAAATTTGATGTCTCGCATTTTGGTGGATGGTTAAGGTGTTCCTAATTGCCCCTAATCATTTTTGGAAATGTTCATTTGATAGAACTATGATATTTCCTACTCAAAACAGTAGAGATTTAGGGAGAATTGATCAAGAAGATATCAAGAAGTGTTATTGAAGTGATACGTTGTTTACAAAAGGAATACAATGGATCATTCGAGATGCCCAATCTCCTAGCCAAAACTCAAATGAATACTTGCCTACCTATTTTCCTCCCCTCCCCTTCTATTTATACTACTACATATACACTTACTATTATAATTATTATTTATTATTATTAGCCTACTAAGCTAGATTCCTATCAATACTCCCCCCTAAACAACCACCTTGTCCTCAAGGTGGGTGATAGGAATCAGCCATGATCTTCCACTTCCACTCTATTCTTGCATCTCTCCCCTCCCAGTACTTGACTGGTTGCTGGATTAAGATCTTCCATGCTTGAATCTTCCTCCTTCCTTCTTCTAGCAAAAGCCACAATAGCTCCCCTATCTTCAAAGTATCATTACCACTCGGGTAGCTTTGTTCATGCTGGAATTGAGTTTTACCAATCTGCCCAATCACCAACTGCTCAATCTTCCAATTGCTAACAACTCTTGCCTCATAATATGACTCAAGCTCTTGGATTTCAGTTGTTCCACTCCTTGAAGTTGTAGTATCTGACATGAAGTATTCCCTAGGACTAATAATATCAGTAGGAACATCAATTATTGATCAACAACAATGGCAGATTCAATTTCAGAGTTATTAAAGGAAGCTTTCCAATAGGAATCTTGTAATCCAGAATTGCTAGGTGCAAACAATGACATGAATGGTGTACAACCTACTGCTGTTTCGAATATGGATAACAATCTGGCATAAGGAAACTCTGCAATATACTCTTTGCCTTTTGGACAGCCTGAATTACAAATATTATCATCTTTAATCAAATATTTGGAAGAGCCTCTTAGTAGGATAGTCATAGAAACTGAATTTCCATCATAAATCACCCACCTAGGACCAACAACAAGAGGTCCAATATAGACTACACCCGATGTATCATATTTCTTGTCATCTGTTACCTTGATCCCTTTGTCAGTAAATACCATCTGAAACTGATAGGCACAGACTACACCTCCATCTGGAACACATATACAAACTATTGGCTTTTCCTTAACATTTTCCTTATCATTCCCAGCCAATCCTACTCCCAATCCCTTTCGGATATATTTCATAGAATTCATACCCTCAATTTTGAAACCCTCAGTCTGCTTCTGCCCTTCCAACATTCCCTTTGATGAATGATGGTACACAATATCTATTGGGACACTCAAATCCAGTTCATGAACTCTACCCATCACATGTTTAAAATATTATGGGTATTGGTCTATTGCACTAACATACCTTCGAGCTTCATAGGTAAGGTTATCTGATTTGTGAACTTCGGACTCTTCTAGATTATTTGATGAATCAATGTTTTCTGCCCCTTCCGGAATATCATCCTTCATCTCCAATTCTTGAACTGAAAATGTAGACAGTGTTGGCTTCAACTCAGTGTTCCGGGTAGTTGGTGGAGTTTCAAGCAAAGAAAGTTGCGCCTGGTGAGAGACGACTAGCGAAGATGAGTTGTGATAGTCCGTGAGTGAAGAAGTCTGCGATTTTGGAGAAACGGCTGGAGATGGCACTTGCGAACTGAGAAAGGCCGTCACTGACTGCTGGGACCTGAGAGAAAGGCCGTCACTGACTGCAAACTGATATTTTTTCTTGCGATTCAGTTTGCGAACTGGGAGAAAAGACATGCGATGAAGATGGTTGAGGATAAACAGTTCGTGACGAAGCCTTAGAACTGGAAGCCGATACTGAAGCCTGCGAACTGAAAGGTGTTGTTGGCGAGGACTTCTGCGAACTGAAAGAATAGTTCAGCGACGAAACCAGAGAACTGGATAAAGTTTCTCGCGATTGAGAAGAAAACTGCTTAGTTAGCGACAATCTAGAAGAATTAGTTCGCATCTGCGAACTGAGAAACGACGAGGATTGCGAAGACATCTGCAGACAACTGTGAGAAATGGATCGCGATGATGAACTTTGGGAAACTGCTATCGACGAGGATTGCGAGCTGAGAGAGGTTGTTACCGACTGCAATCGACCTCTAGTCTGGAGGTGTTCATCCATCGTTGTTACCTGTCTGGCTAGGTTTTTCACCATTGTTCTTATTTCTGTTAAGTTCTTCTTCATCGATATCTGCTTCCTTTCCAGCGACTCCACCCTATTCTCCAGCGAATCCACCTTCTTCTCCATTTTTGCTCTCATACCAATGATAGAACTATGATATTTCCTACTCAAAACAGTAGAGATTTAGGGAGAATTGATCAAGAAGATGATCAAGAAGTGTTATTGAAGTGATACGTTGTTTACAGAAGGAATACAATGGACCATTCGAGATGCCCAATCTCCTAGCCAAAACTCGACTGAATACTTGCCTACCTATTTTCCTCACCTCCCCTTCTATTTATACTACTACATATACACTTACTATTATTTCTTATTATTAGCCTACTAAGGGGCTGTTTATTTTTTTCTCATTAAGTCTTGAATAGATTAAGACGTATATCTGCATTAAGATGTCCGTTTGGATTAAGTTACACTGAGATAACAAGTTGTTTACTAAGTGTGTTGAATGAGAAGTCTGAATCATGTCTAATGACCAAATAACCCTCTTGTCTGTAACAAGTGCTGAATGTATATTATCTGTTTACTTTCTTTGTTCTCAAAGATAAAATTTATATACTATAAAATAATAATACGTTATAAGCTCAAAATTTCGTCGTTAAAATGTTTAACGACCACCTTTTTTTTCGCCCTCAAGTGGTTGTTATAGGTCCCGTCGTTATTGGTTTTAACGACCAAGTTCATCGTTAATATTTAACGACGATATATAATCTCAGCGTTACTTATTAACGACAATATACTCGCTCGACGTTACATAATAACGATGACATAATAGTTCGTTGTTACATTATAACAAGATGTTTAAATTTCATTACTTTTTTATACCATTTGTTAGCATCATTAATTCATACAACCTTTACAATAACCACCACAACCCCGTAAACACTTCTTTAATAGACTTTCATTACTTTTTTATACCATTTGTTAACATCATTAATTCATAACCCTCGTTATCATTTATATCATTGTTAACACCATTACTTATCCAATAACGATAACATTTTTATAATGACAACCACAACCCCAAGAAATACCTTTCAGGAACTATATATTTAGTTGTAAAAATTATAAAATATTGATAGAATACTCTGTTATTGATAACAACTCCATGCAATACACTATTTGTACAATTTAGCAAGTGATATATACCAATCTTCTAATCTTTCAATAAGTTTGAATGATCGACAAATATCTTTTACATATAAGAATTATTGTAAGCTAATACAATGTAATAATCATCTAGACATAAACAACGATCTCAATACTTGACTATAAAAATACATTGTATCATTAATTGTATGAGAAATTGAATAGTAAATCACAAATATAGTAAATGGACGGCACAACACTGCTCCATCTTCTCATCTTTAAATGCCTACAGAAAAGAACACAACAAGTGTATTACACCATTGGCAGCTTTTGGATGGACCATAGCACCTCGTTTCTCTCTTAATCCTTTAGTTATAATTCTTCGAGTGATTCTTCAATTAGGCTATGGTCCAGATGCACGCCAAAAAAAGTTGTTCCTTCACTTATATTTAGCAAAAGATGAAAATATCAGTTCATGTGAAAGGAATACCAACCACATAAGCTTAAGGAATCAGATAAAAGAAGTTGCTCTTTTCTCTTCGCGACCAATTGCGGTTTTTCTTTCCTGTGCTTTCATCTGGATGACTTATCTATTGTTTTTGTGTGGCATATTTATGATATTCTGCCTCCCCTTTTATTTTGAAGGCCTCTCTAAGCTTAAAGACATCCCTGCAAGTGATCAAAATACAAGATATGGCTAAATAACTAAAAGACAAATTACCTTTTTTAGAGATTGCCACATTCTAAAGCAGATAGTAGTGCTGACAGAAGCACTCCGGTATTGTTTATCTTTAGAGATTGCCACGCTCTAAAGCATATAGCTCTAATGCTATAATACTAGAGTATGACCCCTGTGATGTTTTTTCACACATAATGCGCATATTGGTTTGGTTTAAAACATTCCGTGTACAGTTTCCCTAAGCATGTGCAAAACACAACAGATTTCATCTTGCAAGTCCTTCTGCTAAAAAAACCCACTGGGCCCGGTGGAAAAAAGATAGATAATGGGCAATTTTACAAAGATATATCATCCCAGTCAAGTACATCAACAATATCACATCAAATCCATATGTAATCCATATGTGAATCAACAATATTATAGCAAGTAAATCAACAATATTATAGTGCAAGTCCATATCTATCTCACTCAACTAAATCAACAATATTATAGAGAGAAAAGAGGAGGAGGGAAGAATAATAGAGGAGAAGAGGGATAGGAGAGAAAAAGACAAACCTAATGCTGCGGACTCACAATTGATTGAGAAGCTGGGTGGCAGAATACAACTTGAGGAAGGTGGTGGGAGATTGATGAGAAGATGGGTGATGTTCGTTGGTCCGGCTGGTGAAGTTCACAAGTCGCAGATGTCTGGAGATCTTCAGCGATGAAATCTACGAATGGAGAACCAAGGTTAAAAAAGAGAGTGCATACGTATAGCTAGGTCTGAATGGGAAGGAGTGTTAAAATTGGGCTGAACCAATAAGTCATAAAGTGTCTGCGCGAATAAGTCATACTTTTCGTTAAGTTACAAGTAAACATCACTGTATGTCTGAGCGAATAAGTCAAGATTTCCATTCAGCCCATTAAGCCACAAGTAAACCGGTCCTAAGCCAGATTCCTATCATCATTCAATCAAAGCTTTCAAAATTTCCAGTTTCAAGTAAACTCGTTCTTTCATGATCTCATTTTGTAATAGGGTTCTCAACATCCCCATCTATGTATAATGTATTCAAGTATCTGAAAGCAAAATGGGCAGAGCAAAACATACTAGTATCATAATTATACACTCATATAATTGAATATCATATATAAACATAATCACATCAATTAAGAAATTTCTCAGAAACACCAGATAGAAAAATAAAAATGAGATGTTCAACCAAATAGCAAAATGTTTTCACATCAAATTAGGGTTCGCTTTCAGGCTTCAGCTTTGTTTGATAGCTATAAATCCTAGTCTATGGTTCTTTTTAACCATTCAGCATACCTCAGCTATTCTAAAAAAAACTTACACTTCATTAGGATATGGGCCTGCTCATGTGAAAAGTGAGGACGCAGCTAAAAGTTCATTTAATGATGATGTTGAACCCAACCATGAATTTCATAATTTAACCACAGAATTTATGCTTTACATTTCAAGACATTAGGTGTTCAATCATAACTTATCATCTACAATTGTTTAGACTATGGGAGAGCATAAAGTAATAGTTATCATTAAGTCATTAAATACAAAGTTAAACATAGAATGCAAACAAGGAGATTCACGGGAGTGTAGACTCTTTAAACATAGAGAGTAAGGGAGAACTGATTCCATTGTAAGGGAACATTAATTGTCGAGAAGTAAGAACATCTATGAAGAGAGCAGGAGTTCTGGAGCGCGGGAGACTTAAATAGAAGTTTGGTAGGTCAAGAATGACTAGGATTGAAGATGTAAAAAAGGAGATGAGCATGTTGAGGCTTGGTGAGCATATGATGCATGGCATAAAAGATTGGAAAAATATGACTTTAGTTAATGAGCTTCAGTGACCTTTTATTGGTTTACGTAGCCGACCTGCGACTAAGGCTCCGCTGTTGTTGTATTGATGGACAATATTGATAAAAAAATTGAAATAGCGATGAATATATTGAAAATACCGATCAACATCAGGAATTACTTTGTCGATGTTGGGACCCAAAAACAGAAGCATCACAGAAACATAGATCGATATCAGAGATACCTTACCCAATTATTAAATCATAGAAAGCAAACAATGAGCTAATTTGCAAAATGACAAACTCCAGCAACAACCAAAAGGAAAAAGAAGCATGAGGTGCAGCAGCCATTCATATGATGATAAAGTACTTAAAAGACAAAACTCATAAAGTGCAGTTACAAAAGTGAAGCTTTGGAAGGAGGATGGGCTCCTTACAAGACAGAGCACTACTCTATATGAAAGTTTAACAATTACAAAGGATCACATCATAATCGCATATGAAGTCAAGATGATGCCAAAGTACACTGCAAATGAAAACCATCAAGCCAGATATCAAATTGCCAGCATTCACCGCAGAACCAATAAAATCAATTGCGCCGACAAGTTGTCAAACAGCTTTAAGCATCCATTTGCATCTTAATAAGCACTCTACAACCAATAGGAAAAAACATTTAAGAAACATTGCTGAAGTGTATCCAAAATCCAAAAAATATACAACTAATAGATAGTACTTCAGACTAGTAATCAGAAGACCAGATAACGAATAGAAAGCAACCAGACAATTTTGTCATTTTTTTGTGAACTGTAGTGCTAAGTTAAGTAATAGACTACAAAAGTCTTGAATCTGGTTGACCCAACAAAGCTTATAAGAAAAACATTGGTACAGTGGAATTCTGATGCAATCAGTTCCACTTTACAGCATTTACTTCGATGTCTGCAAAGGATCATAAATCCATTTACCAACTTCAATAATGATAAGGATTTTGAGGATCGCCAACACATTCTTAACAGAACAATCATTAACACAGTAAGTACTAGTTTTCATATAAATATTGGCATTTTGTAACAAACTATAGTTGGATTGCAAGTATGGAACTAATACGCAGAAGATATCTATTCATTAAGTATGCAGCAGTTAACCCATAAAACAACAAAAAAACATAGACTGAATGCATACAAAGGTGTTGAATATATAATCAATCATAAATCTTTTCGACAAATAAGTGCAATGAAAATTGAAAACGCAGAACCTTAAACAAACTGCAAATACCAGTGCACAATAAGTCTAGCCAGGTTCTCATACAATCAACGATTTGCACAACGGCCATGAGCAGAACATTAATACCAGGAATTAACTATGCTGTAAAATGCAGCAACAGCCAGGACATAGAACAGCACACAATGTTAAATGAATGTGACACTGAGATTGATTGACAAACAAGCACACCATAAAGAGAGATGATACCTATTAGGAGAGAAAGTGACACTGTGAACAAGGAACATGCGAATCTCAAAGAATAAGAAAAAGGACAGGAGAAAGGTAACAAATCTCGAGCAGGTAAACACAGTAATCTGGTAGCGGGGTTAATAAATCAAGGGATAAATGAAGGAGGATTACCTCAATAGTAAGAAGGCATCCCTTGGTAAATGCCCCCAGGCATGCCTCTAGGCAGTGATGGTGCCCCAGCTGGTTGATTGTGTTGGTTTTGATTTCCAGATGAAGGCAGGTTGTAATGCATACCTTGAGAAGGATAATCTCCTCCGGGTTTGCTTTGAGGTAACCCATATGAGGAAGAGCCCGTGCCAATGGCAGCACCTGGTCCACCACTGCCAGGCACAGGGGGTACATATCCATTTGTGCTTCCACCTAACCCACCAGTAGGGTTGCTAAATCCAGCATATCCAGTTGAACCACCACCAACGCTGAAATGTGGTCTGTTGTAAGGAACACAACTAGGACCACCCATAGGGGATACTGCAACTTGACTGCCAGGAGGTGGCAATCCTGGGCCACCCAAGTTGACACCAGTCCCACCCACACCACCCAAGTTGACACCAGTCCCACCCACACCACCCAATGTTGAATTATGAGCATGCACACCCATAGCTCCAGAGAAACCTCCGGCACCCGGGAAAAAACCCCCTTGGCCGGCACCTGAAACAACCCCTCCTGGAGCTCCATAATGAGCTCCTATACCATTCTGCATTCCTAAACCATTATTATTATTATTATTATCAAACCCCTCCCTTGAAACCTGAGCTCCTCCTGGTCCTGGTGGTCCAAAATTTCCTTTCTTTCCATCAATAGCCATTTTACAGTTTAATTGCTTTCCGTCAATATTCTTGACAGGTTCCATCACTGATGCCCTTGCTGCCTCTGCTGTCTTATACACAAATAGGGCATAACCTTTAGATTTCCCAGTAACTTTATCAAACCCTAGTGGCCCTTCCTCTATCTCTCCATAACCCGAGAAGTGATGCAACAATCTATCAGTGGGCATATCATAGGGCACATTTCCAACATATATCTTCCTCAAGGATATATCCACGGGATTATTCAAACTCCCGGCCCCAGGTCCACCCGACATTCCAGTAGCTGCCAGCTGCGTGACAGACATTCGACCATCAATTTGCTTACTAGGCTCCTTTAGAGCAAGCACGGCTCCATCAATATGTTTGAAGGTGATAAAGCCGTAACCTTTACTCTTCCCAGTAGCTTTATCGAGGATGACCACAGCCTCTTCAAGCTCGCCGTATGCGGAGAAGAGAGCACGAAGCTTATCCGTGGTAGTTTCCCAACCAAGACCGCGAATGAAAAGCTTCCGCTGCGTCGTGTCTCGGTCGGCAATAGAACGTACAGCGCCGAGAACGTCCGAGTGATGAAGGACGGCGTTCTGGACGATGTCGAGAAGCTGATCGCGAGTGAAAGGCTCGATGATTTTGCGTGCATCTTCGAGCGACAGTGAGGTGGGAAAGGATGGGTCGGGTACGGCGCCGTTTTCCTCGAGCTTCCGTTTTTTCATGAACTCCATCGCTGAGGATTTCCAGAGAAGCGTATACTAGTGATCGCAGAATATAACGGATTCTAAAACCCTGAACTTAGAGATATTTGAAGCCATGCTCAGGAAGAGGACAGTTTGGGAAAGTACTTTGGTCAAGTTGAGAATGAACTACTTAAATAGGATTAAATAGGACTAAAGGTCTAAAAGAAGATCAAAATCAATATATATATATATATATATGATGGAGTATATGGGTCTGAGCCCCAGGACTCACATAATCGGAAGAACAGAAAGCACAAGACAACAGAGTGGCGCCCTCGTCGGCCAGGACGCCCCCGTCGGCCGAAAAGAAGCCAACTCGGATTATGGTCCTGAGTTTAAGGAACCCGGGTGCCCTCGTCGGCCGTGCCCTCGTCGGCCACGCCCTCGTCGGCCAAGAAGACCTCCCAGAATCGGATTTTATACTTACTCATTTGTACAGCCCATTAGTGGCTTTGTATTCGGCCCAGTAGCGGTCCAGTTGTAAATGGGCCTCCCAAGCCCAAGGCTTGGGAGCCCAACCCCAATTTTCTCTATAAATACTCCCTTTGGGAGTAGTTATAGGGGTTAAGAAAAAAATCATTATATTGAAGCATATTATTGCACTTCTCTCTCTAGCTCTCACTTCTCTCTAGATATACTCTATCATTTGGTGCTCTCGTTGAGAGCTAGAACAATCAAGTTAGCACCCTTCGTCGCTACCAAGCACAGCTAACCACTGACCATGGGAAGAACTAAGTCAAACCGCAACCTCATCAGCAAAGTCATCCCTGAGGACCAAGAGCCCAGGGAGCACGATGAGGACGCCACGGCCGACCAGGTCGGCGGAGGGGACCTCTTCCAGGAGGCCTTCAACCTCACGACGGACCTCCGCAACCAACTCAACGGCGGAGTCCCCGACGCCCGCCTCGGCCTGGAAAAGAAACGAGCTGAGAAAGCGGACCACGCCCCGGCCCAGCCTATGGCCGCGGCCTCTCCGTCCGTAGATCCTCAGGTCCAGGCCGCACTATCGGCTATCATCGCCAGCTTGGCTCAGAACCCCACCGTCCTCAGCGCACTCTTGCCAAGGACCGGGGGGAACGTCACTCAACCTCCTCAGCACCAACCGTTGGCCTTCCAGATAGGCAACGATGAGGGGGTGGTGCCCCAGGACACGGCGTCGTCCCACTCCCACCCTGCTTCCCCTCTTCGGCCCGGGCAGACCCCAGCGCGTGGTAAAGCCTCTGCCTTCAATAGGCTAGGTGACACGCGCCGTCGTCCGGTTTCGGAGAGGATGGCGGGACGGATTGGTGATCCTCGTCCTGGCTCGCCAAGGGAAAGCTTGGGGTCTGTGTCCCGGACAGCGGACCAGCCCCGCCCGGACAAGGGCAAGGGAAAGTTGCGCGAGGATGACGTGCGTCACCAGATCAACGCGGCTCACAACGAGCGCATGAAGAACCAGCCGGGCGGCGCTACTGCCGCCAGGGACCCCCGGGACGAGGTCATCGCCCAGCTGGAGAGGAGGCTAGCTCAGATGGAGGTCAAGCAGTCGGCCAACATCCCTACGGCCGGCGCCTCCAACGATCCCGGCCTCAACGCGCTCATGAACAAGGTTAGCGCCCTGGAGAGGGAGCTGGCCGAAGGGCGGGGTGACCCCATCATCCAGGTCAGGACTAGGACCCCCTTCACCAACAGGGTCCTCTCGGCCCCCATCCCTGAGAAGTACAGGGGGAACGCCATCAAGTCCTATGATGGCCGATCAGACCCCCAGGAGCACTTCAGCCGTTACCAGAACAACATGTTGATGGTGAACGCGTCCGACGAATACCTCTGCCGTTGGTTCCTCTCTACTCTCGAGGGGCCAGCGTACGAGTGGTTCAACGGACTGCCAGAGGGAAGCATTGACTCATGGCAAGATCTCGCCCAGCGCTTCCTCACTCACTTTGCCGGAAGGAAGCGCGCCAAGAAGTATTTCACCCACCTCCTCTCCGTCAAACAGCAGCACGAGGAATCCCTCCGGTCATTCATCGACCGGTGGACGAGGGAGACAGAGGAGGTCGAGGGGGCCGATGAGCGCACCCTCCTCGCCTTGTACCAGGGAGTCCTCCGCAGCTCCCCGTACGCCAGGAGCCTCATCACTGACCCCCCGAGGTCGTACGCCAAGGCGCTCCAACGCGGAGGCTTGTATGCCGACGCCGACGAGCTCCACAATCACAAGAGAGAGGGGGCCATCCCCCCAAGAAGACAAATCCTTCGCCGGCCTCGGGTCCGTCCCCGGCCGGCCAGGGTGCCCAGGGCCGCCACGGCTCTGGTGGACAAAGTAAGAAAGACCGCCACTGGCGGCCGAGGCTGTAACGGCCGGGGGTAGCCCTCACCCACCCGGTCGGCACCATCCTCGATTATGCCGAGAAGCATGGCCTCATCGAGCAGGCTCCTTGGCCGGTCGAGGAGATCCTGGCCATCCAGCAGGGCGGCACGTACTGCCGGTTCCACAAGAACTCGTCGCACGACACCGACGATTGCATCACATTGAAGAAGGCCATCGAGCGCCTTATTTGCCAGGGGGAACTCTCCCAGTTTGTCAAAGATGGCCCACGTAAAAACACTTGGGTAAACACTGGCAAACGTGGGGGCGAACCCTCTGCGAAGAAGCGCGAGATTGGTAGGCTCAGCGACGACGAGGACTTCGAGGAGCCTCCGCCGAAGAAGAATCACATCCACCTCATCGTAGGCGGGAACACTGGGGGGGACTCCGCCACTCAGAGAAAGAAATGGGCCCAATCCCTTTACATTGGAGAGGTGTCCCACGTTCCCCCCCAGCCGAAGAAGCAGCGAACGGAGGCGATCACCTTCACCGACAAGGATCTGCCTCCGGGTACGGAGTCACACAGGGACGCCCTCGTCATCCGATGTGAGACCGGTGACTCCATCATCCACCGTACTTACATCGATACGGGGAGCTCCGTCAACGTGATGTACCTAGACACCTTCAAGCAGCTGAAGCTGGACAGAGCTCTGTTGAATCCGATCAAGACCCCGTTATCCGGCTTCACCGGGGACTCTATCGACGCCGAGGGCACGATAGTCCTCCCCGTGGAAGTCGGTGACGGCCCCCACCGTGCCAAAATTGACATGGAGTTCATGGTGGTCAACCTCCAGTGCGCCCACAACCTGATCTTGGGCCGGCCAGCGCTGGAGGACTTGGAGGCCATCATCTCCATGAAGCACCTATGCTTGAAGTTCCCCACCAATGACGGTATCGGCTACGCCAGAGGAAATCAAAGGATAGCCAGAGCTTGCTACCTCAAGCTGACGAGGCCGGCCGAAAGGGAAGGACAGCGGATAGACACCATCACGGCCGCCGTCGCCATGGACGAGGAGAGGCCACATGCGGAGCCGGCCGAGGAGGTCGAGGAAATCCCTCTGGATACCTCCCGGTCGGAGCGGGTTCTCAGGGTCGGAAAGCAACTCCCCCAGGACCAGCGAGACGCCATCCTCCTCGTCCTACGGTCATACGCCGTTGTCTTCGCGTGGGGCCCGGACGATATGCCCGGCATCAGCCTCCAGGTGATCACTCACCGGCTGACCGTCGATCCGGCCTCCGCGCCCGTCAAACAGAAGCGGCGCTACTTGTCCGCTGACAAGCGGGACTTCGTCAAAGGGGAGGTCGCCATGCTCCTATCGATCAAACATGTCAAAGAGGTGAAGTACCCAACATGGTTGGCCAACGTCGTCCTCGCACAGAAACCGCCGACGTTCAGAATGTGTGTTGACTACACTGACCTGAACAAGGCGTGCCCCATGGACCCGTTCCCTCTCCCCAACATTGATCAGTTGGTGGACGAGACGGCGGGGTGCGAGTTGATGTCGTTCCTCGACGCTTTCAGAGGGTACCACCAGATCTCCATGCACGAAGATGACGCCGAGAAGACGGCACTCATGACCCCAGAGGGAATATTTTGCTACCTCGTCATGGCCTTCGGACTCAAAAACTCCGGCGCCACCTATACTAGGATGGTGGCCAAAATCTTCAGAGCGGTCCTTGGCCGGACGATGGAGGCGTACGTCGACGACATGATCGTCAAGAGCAGGCAGGCCACCTCCCACGCCGACGACCTCCGGGAAATCTTTAAAATCATGAAGGAGTTCAGGCTCCGCCTTAACCCCAAGAAGTGCGCCTTCGGCGTCCAAGGCGGCAAGTTCCTTGGCTACATGGTCAGCCGGAGAGGCATCGAGATAAACCCGGAGAAGACGCAGGCTATCATCAACATGGAGCCGCCCCGCAACGTCAAGGAGGTACAGCGACTGACGGGGCGCCTGGCGGCCTTAAACCGGTTCCTCTCCAGGTCAGCTGAGAGGGCACTCCCCTTCTTCCAGATCATGCGCAAGGCAACCAGCTTCAAGTGGACGACGGAGTGCCAGGAAGCATTCGACGAATTGAAAAGGTACCTGTCATCCCCACCCGTACTCTCCAAGCCCAAAGCCGGCGAAACCCTCTTCCTGTACTTAGGGGTGAGCACGTCGGCCATCAGCTCCGTGCTCATCCGTGAGGACGAAGGGGTGCAGAAGGCCATCTTCTACATCAGCAAGACACTTAGGGAGGCCGAGCTCAGGTACTCCCCCATTGAGAAGACGGTGCTAGCCATTGTCCATATGGTGAAAAAGCTGGGGCACTACTTCCAGGCCCATGCCGTCCATGTACTGACCCAGCAGCCCCTTGGCGCACTCATGAGGAGCCCCACTAGCTCCTCAAGGATGGTGAAATGGGCGATCTTCCTTAGCCAATTTCAGATTGAAATCAAGCCAAGGCCATCTATCAAAGGGCAAGCCTTGGCCGACTTCGTCACCGAATGCACGGCAAGGGAGACGGCCGTCGCCAACCCCGGGCCGGAGCCGGACGACACGTGGACCCTGTTCACTGACGGCTCGTCGGCCGCGAAATCATGCGGCGGCGGCGTCGTCCTCATATCCCCTGAAGGATTCAGAGCCTACTATGCCATCCGCTTCAACTTCAGGGTATCCAACAACGAAGCTGAGTATGAGGCCCTCCTCAGCGGTCTCAGACTCGCCGCCGGCCTCAAGGCCAAGCACCTCAGAATCAAGTGCGACTCCAAACTGGTAGTGGGCCAGGTGGAGGGAACGTACGAAGCAAAGGAAGGCCGGATGAAGTAGTACAAACAAGCGGCGGAGGAATTGCTGAAATCGTTTGAAACCCACGAGATCACTCAGATCCCAAGGGCCGAGAACGCCGAAGCCGACATCCTCTCCAAACTCAGCTCGGACACCCCGGAGCACATCTCCCAATTGGCCAAGATCGAGGAGTTGAGCATGTCCAGCATCCATGCCAGCCCCGTCTTGTGCGTCCAACAGCGACCAGAGGACTGGATCTCCGACATCGCTACCTTCATCACCACGGGAGAGCTGCCCCAGGACGAGGAGAGGGCCAAACTTGCCAAACTCAGGGCCCCAAGCTACACCATAGAAGATGGCAAACTCTACAAACGGTCCTACAATGGCACTCTCCTCTGATGCCTGCACCAGGACGAGGCCGATACCGCCATGGAAGAAGTTCACTGTGGCGTCTGCTCCTCGCACCAGGGTCCTTTCAGCATGTCCCGGCGTCTCGTCGTCCAGGGCTTCTTCTGTCCGACGATGGCACGGGACTGCGCTGACCTGGCCAGGAAGTGCACCACATGCCAGGTACTCCAGAAGGCCCCTGGTCGGCCAGCTGTCAACTATGCCCCGGTCAGCACCGCAATTCCATTC